GACACCCACCCCCCAGCACAACCCCAAAACTGCGCGGGGGGGGACGACAAGGGGGGGACCCCGGTGCTTCGCCGGCCGGCAGAGTTGGGGTTGTTTAGTCTAGGAAAGAGGCACAGGGCGGGGGTGCTAGGGACAAAACTGAAGTATGCCAGAAGTTGCTGGAAAGAGGTAAAGAACAAAGTGTTCGCCTCGCCAGGAAGGAGGCCTGCGCTTTGGTGACGCAGAGGTTTCCCCAGAAGCTTTGCTTTTTTTTTTTCTGGGGGCGGGGTGGCAGCGTGGGGGTTTGCAGGGGCGGCGATGCCGCTCCCGTTGTTGGGACAGGGCAGACCTCCATCTCCTGAAAAGCACTCCTGAAAAAGGACCAGCACTGTCACCCTGCACCCTGACACCGCCGCAACGCCCCGATGCCCACGCTCTGTCCCTGGAAAGGGGACACTGCAGCCAAGCGTGGGGGGACGCTGATCATCGCCACGGGAGGGGGACGCCCTGGGGGCTGCTCTCCGCGGGCAGTGCCTGGCAGCACTAAGGGTGCTGTGCACCCATGGGGGTAATAAATGATGGTTTGACCCGAGGAAGGCTTTCCAAGGTCACGTAGGGTTTTGAGATTTTCGAAATTTGATTTCAGTTCAATTTGGATCCCGCCTCCCCACCCCCTCCCCCAATTTCCACTTGCTGCTTTCTCTCCATCTTTTTTTTTTTTTTTTTAAATCTCCGTATGAGGGATATCCAGGAATCACCGGATCCCGATTGCTTTCTGTTCTAGGGCTGAGCAGTCTCCACACAGAGTTGTGATGTTAACAGCTGGGCAAGCTGTAACTAGAAAAATGTTTTGCTGGAATTTTTCTGGTTGGTTTGAATCCTTTCAGCTTGCAAAACCCTCATGCTTGCCCGTCATACTCCGGAGTTAGAAGCTTTGCTTTTCCACTTTGGCCTCGGTGCTAACTAACCGGGGCTGCCTGACCCTTCAAGGCTGCTGGAAAACAGCCCTGTGCTCCTGGTGCCGTGGTCTGGCAGCGCCAGGAGCAAACCTGCTCTGGGAATACAAAGAGGGAAAGAGGGGCAGAGAGAAGGGGTGGAGGGATGGAGGCAAGCTGCCTGCCAGCCCTGATGGTCTTCACTGCCCTCCCTCCTGCTGCCTTCATTCTAGTGCTGAGCCTGGAGGGGTGACAGACCCCAAGAAGTGCATGTTGCTGGCTACAGCTTGTGCTAAGTGCCTCTGCCTTTGGGCTGTGGGAAGTACCAAACCTTTTTTACCTAAAAATTTGCTGCTTGTTAACACCTTGGTTTTATGCTACAGGATGGAGATCCCAGGACTTTGCACCGTGTTCATGGCTCACTACATCCCAGCTCACCTGATCACAGTTCTCCCCTTTCACTGAGCTGCAGCAGTTCCCTCACTGGCAGGTACCAAATCCCTCTACGAAAACACGCAGAAGAAACCACCTGAGTGCTGGCAGTCACCTGAGGGACATGTGGCCACCCTACAGCACCAGATAGTGTAATGTCACCTTTGAAACCACCCTAATAGGATTCCCTGGAAATATTTATTATTAGAGCTCCCTAAGGGCGAGCCTGACCAGAGGCATTGGGCTCGAGAGTGCCTGTCCCCGAGGTCGAGGGAGCTGAAAGCCCTGCCTGTCCCTGGCAGCACTGCTGCTGTGGCAGCTGAGAGATTTGCTTTGTTCCCTGGGCAAACAGTCCCTCTGGGGCTTGCAGCTTTCTTGTCCCTAATTTAATTTGGCAGAGGCGTCACTGAGGGAGGAGCTGCTGGTCTGGGCACCTTCCCTGGCTTTTTGGGGGCCCTTCCAAGCACGGTTCTTTGGCATACACTTGGCTTCAAGCAGGCATATTGTGACCAATTGGCAGAGCTGGTGGGCACCGATAACAGCTCTTAAACCTCTCGTGATGCTGCTACTTGTAAAGGAGAGAGTCTTGATGAGTATAGCGATACCATTAAACCAAGTTGGGAAGCATTGGATAGACTTAAAGAAACTTAGAATTAATGCAAGAATATACAAATATAATCAGTCAGATGACATTTCTGTCTAGCCCAGTTTCTTCTTCCCTGCAGTGGTCCGTAGGAGATGCTTTGAAAGAACCTAAACATTATTTGATGCTTGAACCTGTGGATGTCTCCTGCAGCGAGGAGTTCCATGGCTCCTTCACACACAATGTGGGAAAAAAGTACATTTTGGGGGTGTGTGGACTGAACTTGCCACCTCCTAGTTTTTTTGTTTGTTTTTTGTTTTTTTGTTTTTTTTTTTTTTTGTATCCAGCATATCTGGGCTCCAAGGGATAACATTTTGTTTTTCAGAAACTTGAATGGGTGAGAGGAAGCTGTGACTCAGCCGCTGCTGAATCACTGCAGCTCCAGATGATGCCTCTCCCTGCTTGCTGGTGCCCCTCAAGTGCAGGAACCAGTAAGTCCATACCAGACAAGCCCCTGTCACATCATGGGATGTCATTCTAGGTCCAGGCCTGGGACCATCTGGAAATGAAATCCCACCTCCAGCCCATTTTCCACTCATCCTTTCCGAACTCCTTATTTCCATGTGAAATCAAAGTCCTTCCCATGCCGAAAAGCCCCCCCGATCTTTCATTTCCTCCAAGTTCTGCTCAACCCCTCATTTTATTTGGAAAACACTACTAATTTTACACTGCAAATAGAAACACTCTCTTGTTTCCCCCTTGTTTCATTGGATTCAGATGGTTTATTCAGCAGTTTGCCCCAGTACACAGCTGGGAGCTTCACTTCTGCCTTGGTAACACCCAGCTGGCACCTGAGGCCAGTATATTTGGGTTTTTCTTGGCATGGTGGGATGAGAGGAGATGTAAAGTGACTGCAGACACAATCACACCTTTCCTCCCAGCTGCTTGCTCTGCTCTCCAGTGGTGATTGCTGTTTGCAGATGTTAGCCTAACTTAAAGTAAGCAATGGAAAACTCTGCTCCCAGAGAAACATTCCTCTCATTTTTCCCCCATGCTTATGCCTTTCCCCTCCCTCTCCCCCTCCCACACAAAACCGTCTGCAGTTTAAACACCAAAAATAAAGCAGGCCTGGTCATGGGCTGGATAAAAATAGCAGCCCTTGGTATTTACTTTACAATCAGCAATGGCTTTTCCGGCTTTTTGAGCTGGTGTTTTGGGGCTGGCCTGCTCCATGGCAGCTGCTTCACCCCCTCCTCTCCCTTGGTTGGTGCCTGCCAGGTTGGAAGGGTCAGTCTCAGACGTCATCCCACCTTGGTGCTAATGTGCTGTTTTGGGGCTGCCCTTAAGTCCCTGGGGCTCTGTCCCACGTGGGCAGTGATGGGGGAGAGGCTGCTCTTAGAGGAGCAAGACTCACCAAACTGGTGAGTTTTTTGGGGCTGCCTCTTCTCCACCCATCACCTAGGAGGCTTTGGGTGCAGTGGGGCTTGCTGAAGGGTGTCTGGGTCTGCTGGAACATCCCTCCCTGGTGCTTAGGGGAAAGAAAGGGCTGAGGTGGGGAGCAAGGTAGGGTCTTTGGGTGCATTCTCAAGTCCTGCTTGGTGCTTGTGTTGAGTAAAGATGGGGTATGGGGACTCGAGTGTGTTTGGGGAGGAGGGAGGGCACGTGTCTCTGCTTGGGGTGTGTTTCAGTACGTGCCGTGGAGTTTGGAAGGAAAACAAACCTCATAGGTAGAGCTCTTTGTTATTTTAGAGCTGATGATTGTTTTGTGTGTGTGTGCCTTCAGGAACTCCTTCCTGAGGAAATCCTATGGGCAGTGCTGGCGGCAGGGAGAGGAGACGTGCTGGGAGGTGGGGAAAGCACTAGGGCCAGGTGGGTCCTGGCAGTGTGACATGGTGCCTTCCCATTTAGGAATGGCTTAAGGATCAGTTAGGTGAAGGCTAGGGGACAAAACCACCATCGGTGAATGGGTTGCTCTGGGGCTAACTGGCAGGATCTTCCTGTCACCTCCCAAGGGCTGGATTTCTGGGAGGTGTGAACCAAAGACCGAGGAGTGTGTGATGCTTGGACATGGCCCCAGTGTCCCTGAGGACCAGTGTGTGCCCTCAGCAGATGGAAGTGGTGGCTCGTGCCTTCTCCTGGAGGGGCCACTCCCAAAGGCTTCCCGTGCCAGGTGAGTATTGCATCTGATCTGCCAATGTTGATTTTTAGGTGAAAAACCTGTTGTCCTGGCTGACCCTCTGGTGCAGTCCTTCCTTTGGCTCAGCCCCATGATAATCAAGAAGCAATCAGCAGCTGTCCCTGCTTGACAACTTCCCCCAGAGCCCAGCCAGGGCGGGCAGGGAGATCCCATCCCATTTCTTTAATGATAAGCAGCTGCCAAATTATTATTATTATTATTATTATTATTATTATTATTATTAATAATAATAATAATGTTTGTATTATCCTTTCCCCCTCTGTAAGCTATTTCCACGGGGGAAGCTGATCCTGGAGATCTCCTCAGCTTGGGACCACATGAAGATTTTGGCTAGTGGCACCGGAGTGGTTGGCCAAGGTTGTGCCCTTGTGCCAGGACATTTTGTGCTACCCTTGGAGCTTAGCTCCTG